ATAAAAAACCATTCGCTCTTGAGGGACGTATCATTCAATACGACCACTTTGTCGTAAATGTCCTCCGTGCCATTTTTAGCCGTACCATCACGTAAAATGAGCCACTACGTGCCACACACCCGTACCAAACCGAGTCACAACCCGGACCACTTTTCTCATAAGGACTTTGTGTGGCCTTATTAACTTACTTTTTAAATTTCTTTTTATTTGAAAGTGTATCTAAAGCAAAGTAATAAATTAGAGTTAGAGCTAGCTTTATGTTAAGATTAGAGTAAACTTATACATAAAATAGCTCTTTTAATATTTTCTGTTAGTAACCCAATGTAGATACACCCCGTCTATCTTTTTTTACTTTTTTAAAATTTTACAATTTGATTGGCTAGTCAATGTAAATCTTTCAAGGCATGCCCAATTTTTTTAGCCATGCCCTGAACTCTATCTACGTAGTTAACAATTATCTGGTAACTTAAATTTCATAAATCCTTTAATGATCTAATGTCACTACAACTATGTCTAATATATAGTTGCACAAAAATTACATAAATAAATGAAAACACATATGTTAAAACTTTATTAACTCATAAATTCAAAAATATTATACTATGAAATTGATACTAAATTATTTATCCATTTAGCAATATTCATGGTATCCGTTAACTTATTTTTTTTTTTTTTAAAAAAATAAAAAAAAAAACTATTTATTGCTGTTTGGAGGTGTCGAAAAATTCTTTATCTCGGAAATGGATTGGGACCTAACGTCGTTAGACATAATGACCGATGATGATAATGAGCGCGAAGGAAGGCTATGACTTTTGTGAGAGCGAGGAGAACGAGTTATAGTATCTGTTGTATTTACTGAATAACGTCTACTATGAAAACTATTGGTCACATTCTGCCAATTTTCGTCGATATCTACTGTGTAATACTTGACGCCAATTTGCAATTCAAAAGGATTATTTTCTGCTTCCTATAAGAAATAATATATAAAACTGATTAGTCTCGATATTATTATTACGTTATTATTACTACAATGAATAATCAAGGAAGAACATAGATAACGAACCGCGATATGATTAGAAATTTTTATAATTCGACCCATAATATAATCTTTGTTCTTAATTGTTTCGGTATCGCTTAAATAGTAATAAGGACAATTATGGTTGAAGGCCATATATGTTTTTTTAGGCGATGGGTTACAAGGAAAGAAAAGTACAACGTCCTTGTTCTTGAAACTGTAAATTAAAATATAATTTAATATAGCCATTAATTGATATATATTTATATACATTGATTTGCTTACTTTTGAAATACAATCTTGTCTTTCGATTCTTCTCTAGCTTTGTGATATTTTTCTAATGAAATAAATAAATTTCAATTTAAATAAAGAATTTTTTATTTTTTCGCCTATGCGATATATCGCACCCTATAAGATCTGGTGTAACGTGAAATCAAAACAATAAAATTAATTCGTTAGGGTTAGGATAGAGCGCTTTAGCGAAAAGATCCTAACCCAAAATTTTGAGAGGAATTTTTTTTTGTTAAAGCACGAGAGATGGTTTCATAGGCAAAATTTCGTGCTATAGCCGATTTTTGAAAAAAAATCGTAATCTCTTCGATTTCACTTTACACCTGATCCTGCATTCTAATTGGTTTATCAGGGTGGCGATACACACCATGGCGATAAATTATAAATTATAAAATCCAATAAATTTAAATTTTAAAATTGATGATTATACTTACCTCTATATGATTTAGATTCCTCTTGAATGAAATAAATTGATAAAACTTCAATTTAAATAATTTAAATAATTTAAATTCTAAAATTGATGATTATACTTACCTCTACATGATTTAGATTCCTCTTGAAATCGATTTCTCAAACTTTCAGCATCTTTAAGCGCTCGCACTATTAGGTCTCGTACCTCATCTAATTTTACTTTCATCGTCAACGAAAGTAAAGTTTCATATTTCTCTTTTGGCCAAAAACTTTGTTCATCAGAATTATCGTTAAGGAAAAATTTGCTTAAATCTTCTGTATAACAACTATCTGACAATCCTGTTTTATTGTCATCAACATTCTGTGATATAGATGTTACACTCATTACATAATTATCAGCCAACGTTGGTATTTTTAATTCCATAGTTTTCATTAATGTCCGAAGGCTACTGTAATATTCCCACAAAGATTTACTTAACCCCTTAGAAAATTCCGTTCTTTCTTGCAACTCTCGACGCAATTCAGTTAGTGAATTTTCCAGTTCCGTTTTCAAATTCGTTGATGCATCTAATGACTATTAATATATAGTATTATCTTAGAATATTTTAAGTAAAATAAATAACCTATATGTAGATTTTTACAAACTTACTTGACTTGTTTCACACAACTTTTGATCCAGATATTTTGCAGCGTTTCCCATCTTTCGTATCATGATTATAGGATCAAGATTATCATTTGATATCGTCTTTTCAGCCAGCAGAATAGAATATTCAGCAAAAAGGTGTTTACGAATAATAAAACTCTAGATAGATTTTCAATCATTACATGAATTACATACCTGCTCTGAATTAGAAGATTCATTCGATGTGACAATAAACATATATTCATTAATTGTTTCGGAGATGTCTTTTATTAATTTCTCAGTCTATTAAAAAAAAAGTAAACAAAGGTAAACATGACAATTATTAAACTCGCAGTTTAATATAATGAAATCACTTAATTGTATACCGTAGCAAAAGTTTTCGTGCGTTCGTTATAATCCTGTTCTATAGATTTAATTTTTTCTCGTGACTAGACATTTAGAAAGTATAATTGATTAAAAAAAATTAAATAAAATACAATAAATATACAAAAATACGATACCTTGGCGAGATCTTGTTCCAAATCTTCTCGAGCAGAATTCATCATTTCTAGGTTTTGTTTCCAGCCTTCAATTTCTTGGAGTTTTTCATCTGATTGTTTCTGAAGTTGATCAAGTTCTTGCTTGTGCAATTTCTCTCTCTCTTCATTCTAGAATTAAACCTATATTATTATACTTATTGATAACAATTGTTGTTATAAAGAAATAAGACCCAGGCACAAACCTGTTTCTGACTGTCTTCCAATAGACCTTTCAATTTATTATTTTCTGCTAAAATACTATTAATCTTAGAATCCAACGTAAAAGTTTCTGCTTCAGCAGCATCCTTTTCTTTTTTGACATGTTCATTATCAGTTTTCAACACTTCTAATTCCTTCTCTAAGTCGGCGTTTTTCCTATTAGATTCACGCAAAAGTGATTCTAACTCTTGAATCCTATCATCATACTTGTCACTAAGCATTTTTTTTTCAGATTTTTCACTAAGTAATGTTTGATTTAATTCATTAACACGATTCTGAAATTCTTCCAATTGATTACTTTTTTCATTATTTGTTTCTACTATATAATTTTCATGCGCTTGATTAACTTTCTCAAGCTCAGTAACCTTTGTCTCCAACTCATTGCATCGTGTTGATGATAGATTATATTGATTTTGGAGCTCGTTATATTTTTCTTGAAGCGAATTCTTTTCTAATTCCTGCTCAACAGCTGAAACAGAAAACTTTGAATCTATTTTACGCGTGTTAGAAAGCATTGTAGAATTTTTCGAGGCTTGATAATTAGTATGCAATAAGTCTTCTAGTTTTTTTATCCTGGCCTCATATTTCTATTGGGAATGTATAGTTAAAATTAGTTATTCGTTCAATTAGATTAGATTAAGTGTCAAAATTTCAAGTTAAATGTTTAAAATAAAGAACCTTGGTCGTTTCTTTTGATCTATCTAATTCTTTAAGCGTTTCAAGTAGTAAACGATCAGTAGTATTGCCAAGTGTCGAACCACTATCCTCTGAGAAACTTTGGCGTGATGAGCGAGAGGACCGCCGACCCATTTGTGGTGATGGTGGTGCAAGTGACCGACCTAAAAAAATGAATCAATTTAACAACTAAAGAAAAAAAAGGTATTAAATGAATTATTATGTTATACATGCCTTCAAAGATCGAAACTGGACGTGACAATGTATTATTTTTATCAAAATCAGATCGTTCAAAGTGAACTAATTTAATTGTGACCGAAAAAAAAAAACCATTTAATTAAAATAAATATTATACACATTTTGGTTAAAACACCCACTTACAACTCTTTTCTACGATTTTATCGAATTCTAAATCCATCTTTTCTATTTGGCTGTATGATTTGACCGATTTTGAATGTAAGGTCGATAAAATATCAATAACAGTTTGTTGAATTGTCTGTTGATCCCGGGTTTTGAATAAGGAAGAGGAAGCAACAATTTGTGATTTAAATAATGATGCTTGAGATAAAATTATAGGACGAATCTTTTCAAGCAGGTCAAAAAAGGTTTTAATATCGGCTTTTGAAAAGGATGGTAGCCGATCGTCCTTAATATTCAAAGTAGAAACCTCACACATTGGTGGATTATCATCTAAAGCTGAAATATTTAAGGGAATGTAACTTTTAACATCCAAGCGGTAATTATCACGTCTTTTTTGCTCTAAATTTCGGAAATTGGCCATAGCCTCTGCTAATTGCTGGGCTTTAGAGAGAAATAACTGGAACATTATCGAAACAAAAACATTATGATATTTATACAAAGTAAATACATTTTCGACAAATCAAGCAATAAATAAATACTTTAGTATATTCGCTTCGTCTCAAAATCTCGATTAGTGTCATGGCCTAATAACATAATATAAATAATTAAAAAAAATGAAGGGAGTAGAAAATGTCTAGCATTTTAATATGATAGCATATATACATAGGCAAGAGGCATTTGACGTATATTGGATAACTGTTTAAATTCTTGAGCCTTTAACTTAATCTCAGATTCGAGTGCACTCAAAGTGCCTGGAATACCAGCAATGGTTGACTCCAAGTGAGATATTTGTTGAAGACTAGAAATCATCATTGATGTCATCATATTCTAAGTATTTATAATCATTCAATTT